AAGCAGGAAGAGCTTGAAGCTCTCCTGGGAATAGGAGGGTATGATCTGGTGGGGATCACAGAAACTTGGTGGGATGAAAGGCAAGTCTGGAATGTGAACATAGAAGGGTATCACCTTTTTAGAAAGGAAAGGAAGGGAAAGAGAGGTGGGGGTGTGGCTTTATACGTCAGGGAAGGGATAGGATGCAGTGAGATGGAATGCAGCACAGATGGGGATTCGGTAGAGGCAGTCTGGGTGAAACGTAGGGGTTTTGACAGGGAAAGAGACCTGGCAGGGAAAGGGGGGTATGTTATGGCCCTCCAGGTCAACTTGAGACCCTGGATGAAGTCCTGACAGATCAGATTCTAAGGATATCTCAGGGAAGGGACACAGTAACTATGGGAGATTTCAATCTCCCGGATATTACTTGGCTCACTCGGCGGTGACAGCCAGGTCACATCGCTTCCTAGAAGCTATAGAGGGAGGGTTTTTCACACAGAGGGTCCAAGAGGCGACGAGGGAGGGAAACATCCTTGACTTGGTCTTGACCAACAGGGAGGAGCTGATAGATGAAGTACAGATTAGGGGAGCTCTGGATGCGAGTGATCACTCCATCCTTTGCTTTGAGATCAGGGGACTGGGGACATGCAGCAGATTGAGCACTAGAAACTGGGACTTCAAGAGGGCCAACTTTGGCCAACTGAAGTCCAGACTGGGGAAAGTCTCCTGGGATAGGTTACTGGAAGGTAAGCGAGTTGAGGAGGGGTGGATAGCACTCAAAAGGGAGGTTTTGGAGGCGCAAGCCTTGACGATACCTCTAGTCAGTAATGTGGGGAGGTGGAGGAGAGTGCCGCCATGGATGCGAAAGGAGGTTGTTAAAGGGATTAGACGAAAGAGGAACCTCCGTAGGAAATGGGTACTGGGGGAAATAGACAAAAGGGTATACCGGGAGGAGGAGGCCCGTTGCAGAAGGATTCTTCGCAAGGCTAAGGCTGATTACGAGCTGAGACTTGCCAAGAATATCAAGAGCAACAAAAAGGGCTTCTTTCAGCATGTAAATAGGAAGAGGAAGGGGAGACAAGTGGTGGGACCACTAAATAAGGAGGAAGGAGATCCAGTGACTGATATGAGGGAACTGGCACAGATGCCAAATGACTATTTTGCCTCTGTGTTCTCCCCAAAGCAGGACGGGGGATATCCGCATAGGAGATTAGATGAGGCTGGGGACTTAGGGGCACAGATTAGAGTCACCCCCTTGAAGTCGAGGGGCTCCTCAGGGCATTGGACATTACAAAGGTGCCAGGCCCTGACGGGTTACACCCGAGAGTACTTAGAGAGTTGGCAGGGGTTCTCTCACTCCCGCGGGCCTCCATTTTTGGGACCTCGTGGAGAACAGGTGAAGTTCCAGAGGACTGGAGGGTGGCATCAGTGGTTCCGATTTTCAAAAAGGGTAGTAGAAAGGACATGGGGAATTAAAGACCAGTTAGCCTTATGTCCATTGTAGGAAAAACAATGGAAAGGCTCATAATAGGGAGGGATCTAGTGATGCTAGATAGAGAAGGGAGGCTGACAGCCACACAACACGGCTTCCGCAAAAACAGGTCCTGCCAGACAAACCTTGTGGAATTCTATGACAAGGTGTCGAGATGGCTAGATGGAGGGGATGCAGTGGATGTGGTATACCTGGCTTTCAGCAAGGCCTTTGACAAAGTGCCCCCATGATATCCTGGTGGAGAAACTGAGGAGTTTTGGGATACACCAAAGCACTGTCCAGTGGATTAGGGCATGGTTGACTGGCTGAAAGCAGAAGGTAACCATTAGCGGGGAATCATCAGGATGGCGGCCAGTGACAAGCGGGGTCCCCCAGGGCTCTGTCCTGGGGCCAATCCTTTTTAATCTTTTCATTAATGACATGGAAGAAGGGGTGAACAGTCTGCTGATCAAATTTGCAGATGACACTAAAACTGGAGCAGTGGCCACAACTGAGGAGCAGGTACTCCAGATCCAAAAGGATCTGGACAGACTATGGAAGTGGGCAGGAGACAACAGGATGGCATTCAATGTGGATAAGTGCAAGGTCTTGCACTTGGGGCATAGGAATGGGTGCCATAAGTACAGGTTAGGTGACAAGTGGCTGGAGAGCAGCACTTGTGAAAGGGACCTCGGGGTGCAGGTTGACTGCAGGCTAAACATGAGTCAGCGGTGTGATGCGGTAGTCAAGAGGGTGAACGCCACTCTTGGTCGCATAGCCAGAAGCGTGGCTTCTAGATCAAGAGAGGTATTACTACCACTCTACACGACTTTAGTGCGCCTGCAAGTGGAGTATTGTGCTCAGTTTTGGGCCCCTCATTACAGAAAGGATATAGCCAGGTTGGAGTCAGTGCAGCGTAGGGCCACAAGGTTGGTGGCCAGTTTGCAGGGGATGGGGTATGAGGCGAGACTGAGGGAAATGGGTCTCTTCAGCCTGGAGGAGACTCCGAGGGGATCTGTTGGCGACATACAGGTATGTGAGGGGATGTCCCACAGAGGTGGGTAGAGACCTGTTCTCCCTGCGCTCCAACGGAGCAAAGCTCAGGGAGCCAAGGTTCCATTTGGATGCCAGGAAGCACTTCCTGACAGTCAGGACCCCGAGGGTGTGGAATAGGCTTCCATGAGAGGTTGTTGAGGCCCCATTGGTGCGGGTGTTCAAGGATAGGCTGGATGTCCACATGGTGGGCATGTCGTGAGCGGAGCTGGCTGGTGCCGGAGGTCAGACTAGATGGCCCGGGAGACCCCTTCTGACTCGCTCTGTTTCTATGTTTCTAGAAGCTACTGCGCACTCCCTGGAAATATGAAACATCAGCAGCATGTTCTGTATGTTTTTTTATTATGATGAAGCTTTCTGAAACAGAGGAGAAAGTGACATGTTCTATGAGGAAATCATTCACCAGGAATCAGCTGTGGTCATTTGAGAATGTGATTTGTTGTCTCTGATTAGCAAGGAACAGGGAGTGTCATCTACATCATGGGTGTTGCCTAGAAAGAAGAGAAGGACAAATTGGGAGGCGAGTCAATCTATATGCATGCATATCAGTTGCAGTGAATAGGCAGGAAGGGGTGAATATTCTTCTCTGATAGAGAACTTACTAATTGCATGATCCGAATTGCTTATTCCTCCTCCTCCTCCTAGAATGAACACAAAGTGTAAGACATTCTGAGCCTTCTCAGCCAATCTTGACATTTCATAACAGCCTCATGAATGGTGTGTTGAGGTATTCAATGCGGTGGGGGGGGGGGCAGCAGGAGTGGTGTAGCCTCTTAGGCAGATCCTATCCCTGCCCCACCAGCAGAGGCACAGTTTGGAATGCCTTCCAACTCTCTTATTCTCATCGCAGTCCAAAGCCAGCAAATGGCCAGGGCAGAATTTTTCTTTCTGCTGAACTAGCTTTCTGGCTTCAGGAAGGCTGCTTTTGCGGTGACAAAGGGGAGCTTTTCAAAGGTGCTGTCCCTTCCAGAACACATGAACGAATGGTGTTTCTGCTCACCAAAATTCTCAGAGATCAGTGCTTGCGATTGCTGTTCTTTTTGCGTGAACAGGAAAACAGCATGATCATTGCTGAATGGGAATGTTGCACCCCAAAATCTCCAAATTTGCACAGATTCTCAAAGTTGCAGCCCATTTCCCCAGACTGAAGCATGCATAACTTCTGCATGTGTTTGTGCTTTTGAAATGA